GTAGCAGAACAAGAAAAAAATCTTATATCTACCCCTTTTCCTCAAATAAACAAGTTCTATCAAAATAATCCTCAGTTTACAAATAATAATAATAAAGGTTTAACTCCTTGAACAACAATTCATACATTTACATAATTCTCCAGCAAATTAACCTTTATCATTGTTCTCTAAACTAACAATAAAAAGTTACATTTTGAGTCACAGGCCTAGTCTCCTCACAATCACAGACATTAAGAAGTCCTCCAGGAACAGTTCTTACCAGAGTCAGTCAGTTTTTATGATATATACATCTCCTAGAGTTCCATTGTAGTCTCAAATAATTTAATAAAATTTTCAGTGATTTTTGTATGTAAAGACAAATAAAACTTATCTGTTTTCCTAACTGTTCAAAATTGCAAATAGAGAAGAAAACAGGAGTTTATAAAGTCTGAGTTTTGTCTAGATTACAGGATGATTTTAACGTCTCATTTAACCCCATTTCTTTTCTACAGATCCGTCAGTCGGCCACCGTGATGCTGAGGCTGAGAGTGAAGAAAAGCTGGAAGAAGATTGGTCCAGAAGACAGGGAGAGGTTGGACCTTTCATCACTCTGATTTGACGTTCTTTAGATTAGAGTCTAAGCTGATGTGTTCTTCCTCATGCAGCCTGAAGGYGGTGGTGCTTCAAGCCTTCATGCAGGAAACAGAGTAAGTTTTTCTTTAAATAAATGACAAAGATGCAGATAAAAGGCGTTTGTTGCTCCTCCAGCTGTGATGTCATCTTCCTGCTGACCTGTGCTCTGCAGACACACGGTGCAGCACTCGCTGTCTCAGCTGTGTGCGGTTCTGGTCAAACACGAGACCCCGGATCACTGGCCCGCCCTGCTGCAGCTTCTGAACCAGTCCACGCGGAGCACCAACCCTCACGACAGACAGGTACGGATCAGTTCCCTCCACCCRCTTCCTGTTTGCCGTGGGTTTTCAGCACTCGCTCCTCCACRCAGGTGGGCCTGCTGCTGCTCAATAAGGTCCTGGAGTCGAACCCAGAAGCGTTCAAGCCTCATTACTGCCAGCTGCTGCAGCTGTTCGGCTCCGCCCTGCAGGACTATGAAAACCCGACGGCCTTATACTACTGCATCCTCAGCCTTACAGCTATAACAGATTTTCTTGGGACTGAGGAGATGGTGAGCAAAACWTCCTGGATTTAACCTGAAACAAACACCTGCCCAAAGCTTTTCTAACCTCGTTTTGTTTTTCTTTTTAGAAACACATGGGAAACATCGTCACGTACCTGATCCTGGCTATGAGGCATCTCATCATCGCCGATCAGGTAAGCTCCGAGTGTGGAGGTTCTAYAGAACAGCTGGAGTGCTCAGAAACCAGGTGACCGTGTGATCGGCCGGTGAAGCTAACGGCTAACGCTAAACGGTCGAGTCTGGATTTCCCATTACTGTACATGTTGACAACAGAGCAGACAAAAGGACTGACCATGTAGAAATTATTAAAACTATTAATAATAACATTAACCCAATTATTATTAATATTTTACAGTTTATATAATCTATCTAATGTTTTAAATTATGTCAGAAAAGCTGTTTGTGGTATGGATTTATTAACAGAAGATAAACAGGAAAACGTCTCATTTCAGAAGTCAGCAGATTTGATCTTATTTAGCTCAATGTGATCTGAGCAGAACATAATGTAACAGTTTAAAATTAAAATAATCTGATAAAGTCCATGTAATCACTGTTAGTTATTGAACT